TGCAACATACACATTGTCTTCACTCACCTCTAGAGCAGCTTGATCCTCAGGAGTGCCAGTAAGAGTAGTTTCAAACTCTTTGAGTCTTTGCTGACAAAATAAAAAGTTTCAAAGATGTTCACTACGTCTCTTGCATATACAATCTAATGAGCAAAAACGTCATGAAAAAAGACATTAGCCCCTTCTATTACCTGAAGTGTGGCTTTCTCCTCTTCTGAAATTTTATTTTTAACTACTGCGGTGTTCTGAGTTGGAGTATCACTGAAAAAAAAAAACAATGTTAGAACTGAAGACCCGCTAAATCACCTGATAACGTGAATTGTTATGGCAGAAATGTGAATCACAGAAACCGAGCTAGCTGATACTACAAATATATGGCGGCATCAGAAATTTTACGTCTACAAACTGGAATAGAAGGTAGGCAAATGACAAACAGTAACACGGTGTAAATGACATGACTTGGAATTGAAAACTGACTCCATTGGATAAGGCTTATAAAAACTGTGATCACATCAACGTATTTTATTAGTCATCTTACACATAACACACCTTCCCGTGGGAAGAAAGTCACCGAGCGCGAAAACCAAACCAAAGACAACAACAGCTATGCCAACTCCAACCTGTTATGGCATGGCAACAAGTTTTGTCATGACATTATATAGGTCTCAAGCGGTTTTAGGAAGAAGGAAAAATACACACTTGTAAGATATTATGAATGTGTACCTTAGTACCAAGACCAATTGTTTTCTGATCAGACTGGACTGGTGCATCATAGTCTATTGGACCAAATTCTTTAACTTCAACTGTCTTTTTCTGCTCAAGAGCTGACCTGATTCATTAAACGAGCAGAGGTCACAGAAAAATATTCCGTACTAGTGGGCCGACAATGAAATCGATTCTGTCTAGGGGGTGAGGGAAGTGGTACACTAGACATATGATAAACAAATCAGGAACAGAAAGGATAAAACTTTCATAGGAAATTCACATCGTCGTGTGTATATTGGGAAAGTCAATTGTGACTATTAGAAGTTGAAAAAATAGGTTCTTTCCTACACAAGCTGCTTGTCATCTAAGATACCCTAAATCCTATTTGCATGCTAGAATCACAAGACATGTGTACCTTCTAATGGTTTCCAGCCGTTCCTCAAAGTCTATATCGAAAGATCGACCAGATTTTCCTTCAAACTGAGAATTCAGACCAGGTGCTTCTGCAAGCAAATGCAGGAATTCCTTCAGCGAAAATAAAAGCGAGGAACAAAGAATCACTTAAGGTGTCTGGTTGATATTGGCACACCTTTCAATAATACAATCATTTTTTGCTTTTCCAGGTAAACAGAAGAATACAAAATGAAGTTATCTTATGTTCCAGACACAATGAAGGAGCTGCAACATCTGTTAATTACAAATTATACTTACTTTTCGGTACAGAAACAGACTGTTTAGAAGATGATTTCCTGCAGAAACATAACCAAAAAACATTGGAAACCAAATATAAAAATGAAATAATAACATCAATGGAAATGGAAACTACAGACTCACAAAAACTATACCTTTGAGGTAATGCCGCATCTTTCTCTTCCTGTGATGAGATTTCACATTTTGTCTCAGTACTTTGAATCAATAAATAAGTTCAAATAGAGAGACAAATACAAATTAACTTGAAGGATTCAAGAGGAAAAAACAAAACCGCTTAAGAAGAAGAATTTCTGGAATCAAACCTTTTTAGAGCCAAATCCGCGCTTAGGATTAGAATCCGAGCAACGAATTCGAAACACGAGAAACTTCGAGTTAAATGAAACGGCGGCCGCCGCTACTGTCATGAACATCCTCTGCAAATCCTAAACCCAAGGAGATAAATTTCGCTAAGAAATTCTCAGAGAAATGATGAATAAGTAACGTGAGCAATTCCGAAAACTCCAAACTTTCAAAGTATATATACACATACAGTAACAGCGAAACGAAGACAATTTTGTTGGCCGGAGATTGACGATGAGACGTGAGCTCAGTGATCGGACCGGTGAAGGTAGTGATAAAGTTAGTGGTGGTTCTTTATTTTGCAGATTGTTTATTTATGGGCTGAATTATGCGAATGTAAGTTGGGCTAGGCCCATATAAATGTTATTCAACGGCCCAATATCGAGTATTTCAAAATTGATGGGTCTTTTTTTTAGATAATTAATTTACTAACGAGAAGAATGATGTTCACTGAGGATAGTGATTAAGTGGCAGCTTCTCATTGGATAGGATGTGTCATTCTACTCATGAAATTACTATCGAACCACTTACGGAGTGAAACAAATAATAATTTGAGGAATATTAGCACAAAAGAAATTCTGAAATTTCTCTGAAAAGTCTTCCGATTAACGGAGAGACAAAAGAGCGCTTCTTCGGCTTAGACAAGCTTTCGCTAATGGCGGTTTCCTTCTGATCACTCACCGGAGACGTAATTTCTCTTCTCTGTTTCTACCGATTTAGGGTTTGTTTACGGAGAAACTGTTAGTATATGATTCTTCTTTTCTACAATTTTCGACGCATTTCATTTCCTGCCTAGATCATGAAGTCAGATCTAAACGAGATTTCTCGATGTTCGGTTTTGATTAAGTCGGAATGCAAACTCCCTTGCGTTTTTTTGTTTCTGTACTCGATTAGATCTTGGGGTCTCATGCGCTGATTCTTTATTGCGTTACCTGGGCATTTGATTGTAGAGGCGTTTGCGTATATGGAATCGATGAAAAATGTAGCTGAACCTTGCTCGGACGAGTCTGATTTTTTTTTAAATTTGAAAATGATATTCGGTAGGTAAAGAGAAACATCTTGATTTAATATTTTTCTATTTTTTTCCAGAAAATTCGATTATCGTGGAAACTAGTTGTGGCAACTCTTGTGTATTACTCGACTGAGAAAGTTTGAAGAAGCTGGAATCAAGATATAGATAGGCTTAGAGGGTTCGTTTTACGTTGTGCTCGTTTTATGATGTGGTGTTAACATTTGGAGAGAAGTTTGTAGTATATCGAAAATTCAGCGTCCAAGTTCTGGGGCTGAGTTGCCCCGTAGCACTGATTTTACGCCTATACCCGTAGTCCGGAGAGCAAATTCAGCTCAAAACATGATGATGGATGAAGATATTGAGCAGGCCAGTTTGATGTCTTTCAATGACAGGCCGAGAGCTTTTCCCAACATGCGTGGTAAAACGTATAATCCACTGGTAAAGCTATCGTTCCTCTCTTTCTTGAGTTATTGGTCCCGTCAGATCATTGAGATGTGTATTAAAAAAACTTGGGCTTCTTTCTATTTCTTTTAGCATCTTAGTTTTCTTGAGCATCTTGTTTTCCTCTCCTTTGACATTGTTAAAAGTTCAGTTGTTTTTCCGGCAGATATTCCGGATTCTTAGGAAATTAAATGGTCGTGTCCTTATGATACTTCTGCTTTTCTGCTTTGGAGCGATCTTTTACATGGGAGCAAGTACTTCTCCTATCATCGTGTTTGTCTTCACAGTATGCATCTTCAGCTTCCTATTGTCAGTATATCTAACCAAGTGGGTTTTAGCCAAAGATGAAGGACCTCCAGAGATGGTTCAAGTAAGCTCACTCAATTCATGCTGCGTTATTCATGATGTTGACTTTTTTTCTTCGTTGTTCTCGTCAAACTTTCTTACTTCTGATTTGTGAGGTAATTCTCTTACTTCTAGATATCAGATGCTATACGTGATGGAGCTGAAGGGTTTTTCAGAACGCAGTATAGCACTATATCCAAGATGGCCATCTTGCTAGCTTTTGTGATTCTTTGCATATATCTATTCCGTAACTTAACTCCCCAGCAAGAGGCTGCTGGTTTAGGAAGGTATTGATGCATGATTACATACACAAGATCTGTTTGATCTTTTGTGTTGTTGTGAATGATACTTAGCTTATATTACTTTTTTTCTGCAGGGCGATGTCTGCTTATATTACTGTTGCTGCATTTCTTTTGGGGGCTCTATGCTCAGGTATTGCTGGATATGTTGGAATGTGGGTGTCAGTTCGTGCTAATGTGCGGGTCTCCAGTGCTGCTAGACGATCTGCGAGAGAAGCGTTGCAGGTTTTTTTTAGTTTAATTATTTTTAGCAGAATGTGCACATACCACCAAATACTCAGTGGCAGATGTAATGCAGATAGCAGTTCGTGCTGGTGGGTTCTCAGCCCTGGTTGTTGTTGGCATGGCTGTGATTGGTATCGCCATCCTTTACTCTACGTTTTATGTTTGGTTGGGCGTGGATTCACCAGGCGGAATGAATGTTACTGACCGTAAGTCCTCTGCTTTCTATGAAAATGCATTCCATGTCATCTTGGCTACATTATCTATACATCATCGTACTGTTTCAACAGATTATTTTTATCTTTTCATAGGATCATTTTTAGTGGAGCCGAATTCTCTTTATTATGTTATGACTTGTATTGGTCTTTATTGAGTGGGGTATCAAAACAGTTCTAAGATTTGTAGTCAACTATATATGCTCAACCAGCAATGGTGTGCGTAGAATCTCATCGCTGAAAGCCAGACACAAATAGTTCTCATGATATATTGACCATAATTTGCATTTTCATGGGCGATAGTGGAGGGATTAATTTGTTAGATTTATTGATCGAATCTTGCTATTTCTCTTACAGTGCCTCTTCTTCTTGTGGGATATGGTTTTGGTGCTTCGTTTGTTGCCTTATTTGCTCAGTTGGGTGGTGGAATATACACTAAGGGAGCTGATGTCGGGGCTGATCTCGTTGGAAAAGTTGAGCAGGGGATTCCTGAGGATGATCCACGAAATCCTGCTGTTATTGCTGATTTGGTATGCCATATTTTCTTCTTTGGTTCTTACTTTCATGGTTTTCTGTGTACGTCTGGAGGATAATTTGTCTGGTTCATGTATCACTCTACAGTATACATGTCAGTTTAAAAGTTAAAAAAGGTTTATTTTTCGACATTTAGGCTTTTAAAGGTAGTTTCATCTTCTTGTAGGTTGGAGACAATGTGGGGGACTGTGCTGCTAGAGGTGCTGATTTATTTGAAAGTATAGCTGCAGAAATCATCAGTGCAATGATACTAGGTGGAACAATGGCTAAGAAGTGCAAAATTGAAGGTTTGTAGGGGATCTCTCTTTAAAGTTACTTCTCACATGGAGTATGTTTGATGTATGGTTTGAGTTCCTGACTTATGCTGAGAAAATTAAAAGAACTTCTAGGATTTTATAATCTGACATGCAACCCTAAGAAATTTTGTGGAGAATTGCATTTCTGTTGACAGAAAGATAATCTTCGCTATATATCCTTGAGGTACATTGTTACTCATTAGGATTTAATAAGTCGGATAGAATTTGTAAAGAGTTTGTAGTTTAGAACACCTTGTATGAGTCTGTGTATGAGTTATGCGAAGATTGAAGGAATACTACTTTTCATGACACCTTTAGTGCAAGTTACTATACTTGACTGCGCCGAGTTTTATAAATGACATTACCTGATCGTTTCTAGCTGTGGTGGTTAAACTTGTATAAAAGGTTTTGCAATTTGAAAGTTAGGAAGATAGGAAAACATGAAATGATAAAAAAGATGAGCTTCTAAACCTCTTACTCATGCTTGATGCTGACTCAAGTTTTTGTCATTACGCAGATCCGTCTGGCTTTATCCTATTTCCTCTAGTAGTTCATTCTTTTGACTTGGTAATATCATCAATTGGTATCTTATCTATCAAGGGAACACGTGATGCTAGTGTGAAATCTCCGGTAGAAGATCCAATGGCTGTACTTCAGAAAGGATATTCTCTGACTATTATCTTAGCGGTTTTGACATTTGGCGCGGTAATGTTGTCTACCCAAGCCAGTGATTGTCTTGTTATTGCTTTAATTTCAGTTGAATTATATGATATCTTCTTCTTACAGCATTATTTATGTTTTATAGTCCACTCGCTGGCTGCTTTATACTGAACAAGCTCCATCCGCATGGTTCAATTTCGCACTATGTGGGTTGGTTGGCATCATCACAGCCTATGTCTTTGTCTGGATATCCAAATATTATACAGACTATAAGCATGAGCCTGTTCGGACGTTGGCTCTTGCTAGCTCGACTGGTCACGGGACCAATATTATTGCTGGGGTCAGCTTGGGTCTGGAATCGACAGCTCTTCCTGTTTTGGCTATAAGTGTTGCTATTATTTCTGCTTATTGGCTCGGCAATACCTCGGGACTAGTGGATGAAAATGGAATCCCCACTGGAGGTCTATTTGGAACAGCTGTTGCTACAATGGGAATGCTAAGCACTGCAGCTTATGTTCTTACTATGGACATGTTTGGCCCCATAGCTGATAACGCTGGTGGGATTGTCGAGATGAGCCAGCAGGTAAATGTCACACAATTGGTTTGAAAGGGTTCTCTGTTTTATCTTTATACTAATGTAGAAACAATGAATGTCTCGTGCAGCCAGAAAGTGTCCGTGAGATCACAGATCTTCTTGATGCTGTTGGTAACACCACGAAAGCAACTACGAAAGGGTTCGCCATTGGATCTGCTGCACTTGCGTCATTCCTTCTTTTTAGTGCGTATATGGACGAGGTTTCAGCGTTTGCTAATCTGCCTTTCAAAGAGGTAAATAAATGTAACTATACATCTTTGCTGTATTCTCCATGTTCAGACAGCTTCTCATACTCCTCCTCGGACCAAAACAGGTTGATATTGCTATCCCAGAAGTCTTCGTAGGTGGATTATTGGGTTCCATGCTTATTTTCCTCTTTAGTGCTTGGGCATGCGCAGCAGTTGGTCGAACTGCACAAGAGGTTGTCAACGAAGTACGAAGACAATTTATTGAGCGGCCTGGCATAATGGTGAGCATATTTTTTCCTTTTCGAATCGG